TACCAATGAATATTAAAGTATTAAAAAATAGTTTGTAAATTAATTTACCTTCATCACTCATCACTTTATCTCCCATCACATTATCTCTAATCACTTCATTTTAGTGATGAAAAGTGATGAGATGCAATCGTGTAGAGTTCCAGATACCATTCGCGGATATCAAAAATAGCAGAGAGCAAATTCATGAGTAAGAATGGGGAAACTGTACACCTTAAAGAATATGATTTACCCTTTCTGGCAAACAAAAAAAACAGGTGTTAAGATGTTAAAACACCAAACAAAAACCTTTTGCAAGGAATCATGTCTGCCTTTACCACATATTTCTTGTGGTGAACATGCAAACAAAAACATGCTCTGGTAGGCATAAGCATTGTCTTTGGAACTGATTGGTCCACACCCGAGGCAGTTTTATTTAGAGCCTCGTCTCAAATAGTGTTAGACCAGAGGACGCCAAAAGGCGAACAGCACAAAGACTCGGCTTTGAGACTAGGCTCTAAAGCCTATGTTGATACTGGTAAGGGAGGTATCATGATGTCTTTGTGATCGCATTCAGTTTTCTTTTTCGATCGTGGCGCAGTCGACACATCGCGAGCCGGCTTCAATTCAGGATTAGCCCAGGGTGGTTTCATTCAACTTCAGTCATTCCCCTGCCCACATAATCTGCTGTGATTTAAGCGACCAACGAAAGATTGCACTGAAAAAAAAGCATTTAAAGGATCTGAAGCTTTCGTGACTGCAGGAATCCATACTCTTTGGTGCTTTCGGTAAAGTCACGTAGGTATAAAATAAAATAAATCACGACGTTTCGATCGCAACACTTCAGCAAAAAAAAATTGATTGCTGTGGTTTCCCACCTGATTGCTTGTGTTGCGATCGAAACGTCGTGATTTATTTTATTTTATACCTACGTGACTTTACCGAAAGAACCAACGAGTATTTAAAGGATATTGGCCAAAAGCGACGAAAGGATTTCCACGCACGTGTGCACAGTGACATTACGTCCGCATATGATGAATACATTTTAATCTTGATGGTAAACTACTGAAAATAAACTTGATTTTAAGCTTTCGTGACTGCAGGAATTACTCTTTGGTTCTTTCGATAAAGTCACGTAGAAAGAAAATAAATTAAATAATAGAGTACGACGTTTCGATTCCAACACAAGCAGCAGTCATCAGGTAGAACTACATTTGAGAGAGAGAGACAAAACACAGACACGGAGACACACAGACAGACACACAAGCAGTTGTGTGTCTTTCTCTGTGTGTCTCTGTGTTGTCTATCTCTGCTTGTGTGTCTCCGTGTCTGTATTTTGTCTCTCTCAAATTTAGCAATCTTTGGAAGGACGTATTCAACCAGGTAAGGTGCTGACTGTTGTGTTAGCCGCCTCTCTGTGTTGGATTGCATTGTATTTCTAAGCTCACTGGGTTTGTTTTCTACCTGATGACGATTGCTTGTGTTGTATTCTATTATTAAATTTATTTTATTTATACGTGACTTTACCGAAAGAACCCAAGAGTACTGAAAATAAATCAATAAAGGTGTCCGGCCATGATTTTACATCTCTAACTCTCGTCGCTATATTATCTGTCATCTCTAAAGAAATAAATATGCTAAATTCCTCTTCAAATGCAAATTATTTTGTCAAGGCTCTCTTCCTCCTCCCTCACAGCTTAAATAGACACTCCAAGCCTAATACGTGTCATTTAGACTCTGTCTTATCGACAGACATGTTCTTCACCTGAGAACGGCTGCTTGCGTTGTGGCCGAAACGTCGTGAGAATTATTTTATTATGTTTTCTTTTTATAATTTTATTATTTCCATTCTACGTGACTTTACCGAAAGAACCAAGAAGATGAATCCCTGCAGTCACGAAAGCTTTAAATCGAAATCTCTAAAGAAGTTCATGGATCCGATGTGGGACCCCCCCCGCCACCAGCCCCTCCCCCCAGTTTCGCCAGCACCGCGGTCACCTGGTGCATGAATCGTGGTGTACATTACTGTGCTTGCAATAAACTTTTATGGTCTGAATAAAGTGCCATTCGGTTTCACACGTAGGCTTTCGCGACCAATTTTCTCCACGACTCCGGCTGTCCGCCTGATGATGCTGGTTATAATTACTGGTGAAACGTCGTACTCGAATTGTAAATGTTGTGGGTTTACTCTCCAACATACCGGTGTGCTGTACTAGTAACGAATTGGCATTGTTTTGTTAAGGTGAAAACCCTTACTAATTGGCTATGTCACGTGGTGGCGGGTTTAACCTCACAATTCTATTTACGCGATCTAACGCAAGCACCTCTGTTATGGAAAGTGCCACTCTTTATTGTAAAACAATTGGATTGAATATGGATATGGTCATTAAAATGTTGTAATAATAATTTCATTTTATATAGCGTCATTCATGCAATTGCATCCCACAACGCTGCACATCAATTATCCAATTCTGTACACAAATATAAAAACAAAACCCGCTACTTAGTTAACAAAAAAAAACTAACACGTAAATAACGAGAATAAAATGGACATCACAAGAAAAAAATGTAATCGCAGAGAAAATACATGTAAATAATACTTACAAGTAATGTATTTTAATAGGAAATAGCGTCACAAAAAAAACAAGTTGTTTAGAATGAAACCCACAACAAACACATTTAGAGGACTCGGTGAATGAGTGTAAGATCGTATCAGCTGCACGTGATGGGTTCTGCCCAGGCAGACTCGTATATCATCTTGGCACCGCTCTAAAATAAGCTACACGCGACAGATTCTCAACAGGACACCACTTAAAAAAACAATGCGTTCCATCACAGCACATAACGCCAGCGGTGGAGGTCACTATAGAGAAACGCATTCCCCCGTTTTGGGGAGAGAGAAAAACGGTAAGCTAACTGAACTTTATCAAACAAAGACAGTAGGTATATTTCTCAACTCGTTATGCAAACTGGAACGGGAACGTTGCAGCAATTCATCGATTCATATCGGTTAACCCTACAAAGTGCTTGCCACAAATGAAACAAAACAACTTGATGATCTCGTCAAAGCAGCATAAACCATCATCACCCAACTCCGGTCATCCTCGCAGCGGCTTTTGGTTAACCATCGAACGAAGGCGGTCACCGCTCACGCGCTTTCAGGCGCGCTCCTGCGGCCGTCTGGAATGTTCTTCCTTCCGATATCAGGAAGCCACCGGAGCTATGCACTTGAACTTCTTTCGCACCGTACGTAGCCAACCGTGCTCATCAGAGGTGCGGGGGAAGGACAACAAACTAAACACAAAAAGCATTTCTAAAGAAATTAGTTATAAATGTAGTATAGTCGTGTAGTGTGTAATAGTATAGTGTATAGTGTCGTGAACAGTAGTTTGTATGTATGTTGAACTTCTTTCGGACCGTACGTAGCCTACTGTGCTAACCGGAGGTACGGGGAAAAGGACAACGAACTAAACACAAAAAGCATTTCTAAAGAAATTCGTTTTCAGGACATTGCAGGGAGGGAACGTGATCCATACCAAAGCAAAATACAATGAAATATAACATATTTACACGAAACCGATGCAGGGACCCTACTGCAAACAAGCTCACAAAACGCAATCAAGTCGCATAAGAAAGCAGCAATGTTTTTTTTTATATAATGGAATATTTGTACGTAATTTGTTCATACGAACCCTTCAGCCAATTGTCGATTCGCCCCTACTGGACTTCTGTAAAAAAGAGCTTTATAGCTCATCGGATTCCTCCAGCCTATATACAGATTCTGATTTGGGCTGCTACAGTAACTTCAGTGTTAAAACAGAATGTATCATTACATCGGTGATTTTTTTTCGCAACACTCAAGGCATCAAAGAGCAGGCTGGAGGATGGAGGAAACTACATTCACTATCATTAGGCTCATACAAACATAATAGGGTGAACTCATCGATTCTTGAATCGATTTTTTTTCAAATGATCAATACCGGAGGGTAGACAGCTCGAGGGGTGATCAATACCCCTGCCGTACCCCCCCCCTCCTAAAGCGCGGGGCCCAGGGCACTCGCCCCGATTTGCCGTGTACCCCTAGGTACGGCTCTGGATGCATCAACCTATAACGTCGCCCAAATGTAAACAACACAAAATCTCTTTTATAGGTCATTTTTTGACAAGTAACCAAATAGTCAAACGTGGAGCACACACTTTTCATCAATATTCAGGGTATTCTCCAGGTAATTAGATGCTCCAGAAAGTAAAATGTAAAACTCGTGCCAGGTGTCGATAAAGTTGACACCTGGCATACACAGAGACAAAGATGACCCCTATAATCTTAACAGACTGTTGGGGCAAGCGCTGTTAGCGAGCAGTACCTATGGAGGCCGGCACGGCACACGAGGGGGTCGGTGGCCAGCACCACGTCTGGCCGCCCTTGTCTCCCTAGTGGCGACGTTTACACAACACACCAGGGACTCATTTGAGGCTGAGTCAACCTATGGGAGGCCTAGGACCGGTTCAGATAATCGTCACTGATGTTGACCGTGAGTGAGAATCGAACTCGGGTAGCCGGGTTTGTAGCGCAGTGCTCTAACCACCACACTACCGCCCCTCACTCTACTCCACTCACCCATTCACCCACCCACTCCGCGAAACCACCCACTCACTCACTCATTTACCAAGCTACCAACTCACCCTATAATGCACCCACCCACTCACCCATTCGCCCACCCACTCACCCATTCACCCATCCACTCCGCGCAACCACCCACCCACTCATTGACCAAGCTACCAACTCACCCTATAACGCACCCACCCACTTACGCATTCACCCACCCACCCACTCACCCTTTCACCCACTCACCCTTTCACCCACTTACCCATTCACCCACCCACTCCGCGCAACCACCCACTCATCTACCCACCTACCCACTCACCCTTTCACCCACACACCCATTGACCCACCCACTCCGCACACGCTACCCACCCACCCATCCACAGCATCACCATCACCACCACCACCACTCCTCGTCCCGTCATTGAACGGGGGGACACCCCTGCCGCTGCAGCTGCGCGGAGAGGTCGACCGAGGCCGTGGCCAGCGTTGGCTGCGGCTCGAGCTCGCTGCTCGCCATCGTGCCGCGACTGGAGGTCGTCGCTCCGGTGGTCGTTCCGGAACGACGGCGGTGGCGCGTCGATGACGAGGATGACCACCAGCAACAGCAGTAGCAGCAGCAGAAGCGGTAGCAGAGCGTGCCGTGCCACTGGCCGCTGAACAGGCCGTACACCAGCGGGTCCAGGCATGCGTTGAGGAGGCCGAAGAGGAAGACGATGTGGTTGATGTACTCGGGCAAGGTGCCCTGGTCGAGCGCCGCGGGCCAGAACCAGTACCAGATGCCCACCAGGTAGTACGGAGTCCAGCAGACGAGGAATGAGCCCACGATCGCGGCCGTCATCTTGACGGTGCGCAGACGCGCTCGCGGGATGTTGTTGGAGGAGCAGCGCAAGGTGACCCCCTTGGCGTCTGTTCGAGGGGAGGGGAGGGGGGTGGCGAGGGGATGTAGCAATGAGATCCCCCGGCACGGAGTTATGACCGACAAAACACATTTGTCGTTTGTTTGTTTGTAACGCTTCCCAACAAAGGTCGAACACGTCAATGCGTCAGCTATGTCCGTCTTGTCACGGGGTGCCGCGGTGGCGAGGAGATGTTAACTACCTCGCCTGGTACACAGGAGGTCGTGGGTTCGATCCCGACCCTGACGCCAGCTCTATATTTGGAGTTTGTGTCTCTCTCTCTCATCATCATCACGGTGGCGAGATGTTAACTACCTCGTCTGGTATACAGGAGGTCGTGGGTTCGATCCTGATCCTGACCCCTGCTGTATATTTGGAGTTTGCGTGTCTCTCTCACCATCATCATCACAGTGGCGAGATTTTAACTACTTCGCCTGGCATACAGGAGGTCGTGGGTTCGATCCTGATCCTGACGCCTGCTGTATATTTGGAGTTTTCGTGTCTCTCTCTCATCATCATCACGGTGGCGAGATGTTAACTACCTCGCTTGGTATACAGGAGGTCGTGGGCTCGATCCTGATCCTGACGCCTGCTGTATATTTTGAGTTTGCATGTAATCTCTCTCTCTTTCTCCCTGTGTTTCCGTGGATTCTTCTCCAGGTCTTCGAGATTTTCCCTCCACGTTTAGAGACGTGCGTTTGGATTATTTGGCCGCCACTATAAGTGTCCACACAGTGACGAGCCACTTCCTTGAGCTATAATTTTTTTTCCAGGTCGCTTCTAAAAAAACATAGATATCTCAGTGGGCCTTAACCTGGTAAAATAAAATACAAATTGTCGCAGTAGTCGTCTGTCCGTCTGTCTGTCTGTTGCGGGGCTGTATCGTCAAGGTGATCCCTATGTAATAAAGGACTCTTTCACTGTGTCTGTCTCCGTTGTCCTTTATTCGGGTTCTTACAACTTGTCCCACACGGCCCTTGCTCAGAGCCTCCCCGCTTGGCAGCTCGACAGCTGCCGTCGCTCCCGTAGCCTTTCTCCACTCCGATGCAGCTCCGCTGCAGGTTCCCCTTGTGCAGTCCCCCGGCTGCTCTCACTGCAGCTCCACCGCTGCTCCCCGTTCCTCCCGTGCCTGGTCACCGCTGGCCGACGGTGCAGAGTCTCACCGCGTGGCGATCTCGCCACTCTCCACTCTCCGCCCTGCGTGGCCTCACCCTGTCTCTATTCCCATACTCTCCTCTCGTCCCTTCCGGTTCTCTCCCTTAAGACCTTACCCTTCTCTCTCACGTGACCTAACCCCTCCCCCGGTGACGTCATATCCGCGAGGCCGTTTACGCCCGCATTACACCTACATTATACTCAACGGATAAGCAGAGGACATCCGCTCATCGTTATTCATGATCAAAAGTATCTCTCAACGCAACCCATCGGACCACCGGGGCCTCCTGGGAATGCGGTCGTTCCGCAGTGATCAAGAAGCGAGCAAAACTCGGGAGCGGTTTCGACGAAGGGCGTCTCATCAGAAAGGTCGGGCTCGCGACTGAAGAGATACGAGTGACCGGACAAATGTTAAGAGGGCAAGGCGCCACATTTAATACAAATGTTAACCAAATGTTACTCCAATGTTGCAATGCCAGGAGGGCTTTGCCCTCGAGAAAACCGGGGTTGCCCGAAAACTTGGTGATCAAAATAATTGGTCAAATGATGAATTGCCCTTGCTCATCGATTATTGGACTCGCAAAATCCACGATTGGACTGTGCGCCTATGCTCCCCACATCTACGCCTTATCATATTCCCCCAACCCGCACTGACCTGCGTGGTGAGGTATGGTCAAATGACCCCTACGACCCGCGTGGCGTAAGCAGAAGGGCCTTCATCCAGCAGCGGATTGACAAAGCTCTCGATACTTAATTGTATACAGGGTGGTACAGATGTCTTGCGGACCCCATTTAATTCTCTAAAACGTCATATTTTTAAAGCGAGCTTCATTTAAAACAGAAATGAATATGCGAAGGAAAGCAAAATTAGGGGTCAATAATTTGGTGGGGGGGGGGGGGGGTCACAAGGCATCTGGACCACCCCCGTACAGTGTACGCATTGCTACGCCCGTCAAATGACGTTTGAAGCGTTTTCACGCGCAACAAACCATCGCAATCTAAGAGTATTTGCATAGCCGAACTCTCTAATCACCACGCACAACCAGGCGTTATAGGCTGCGGAGATACGTGGAGCCTCATAGGCAGTGGGGCAAGGGGGGGTGGGGGGTAGAGAAGCCACCCACCGACTCCAGCTGGGCTGACATGGGTTGTGGATCGATGTACCCTGAGCATCGCCGTGTCAACTCCGTACAGGAGGCAAGTACGCTTAACTCGCGTGAGAGCCGCACGCGGCAGCAGCAGCAACATGCACACCGCCCGAGTCATTAAACGGAGAACATTGGTACACGCGGGAACAAAAACGAGGCCTGAACCCCCCGTCCCCGTCACAGGGGTTACATGAACCTGCGTTTGAGACATCTGCTGCCCACTTAAGCACAATTCCGTCCATTTCCTCCACGCGCAATAACGATGTCTTTAGAACTGGTGTGTGTGTGTGTGCAGTTTGGTATCCTACGTAAGGTGCGAAAGGAAGTTCAACATACATACATACAACTAACATACATACAACATACATTCAACATACATACACAAAACATACACTACATACACACAACATACATACATACAACATACATACACACAACATACACGCAACATACATACAACATACATAGACACACGCATGCACACGATACGAACAGTCCATCGGCCTACTCACTTGCCAGGCGGATAATATGCGGCAACATGTGTTTCGGCAAAGCACATTTTTGGGGTGAGTTTCGACCCTTCTTGGGTCTCATCAGCAGGCTTGGTGAACAAATGCCGCCGGGTTACCAGTCGGTGGCAGCAAGGGGGGCTGAATCTAAACTACGGGCCCCTTCTTCTTGGTTCTTTCGGTAAATTCACGTAGAATGGAAATAATAAAATAATAAAAAGAAAACATTATAAAATATTATTTTATATTATATTATTTTATAATGTTTTATTTTTATTATTTTATTATTTCCATTCTACGTGACTTTACCGAAAGAACCAAGAAGATGAATCCCTGCAGTCACAAAAGCTTTAAATCGATACGGGGCCCTTGCTGGTTTAAATCACTGTCGTCGGTCATGGGCAATGCCACTGCTGGATGAAGGCTTCTTCCAGGTTGTTGCCATCTCTCACGGCCTTGCACCTTTAATTTACAAAGTGGAACATTCACACTCGCGATGGGTTCTTTTGTTGTTGTTGTTGTGTGCGTTTGTGTGCCATTGGCAATAAGGCAGTTTAGTTCAGCCGTGATATTCATATTCTTAGGTTTTCTCGGTAAAGTCACGTAGGTAAAAAAATAAAATTAATAAAAGTAAAATACAAATAAAAATCACGACGTTTCGGAGGCAACACAAGCTTCCGTCTTCAGGTGGAACCGTCACAACACGATAGCTGTATCAAGTGAGAGAAATTCCACGAAAAACGTATTTTTATATATACTGGTTGAGGGTGGGAGGAGCCAAGGTAGTCCCTGAATATGATTTTTGTGAGGTTCGGTGCGGCTGAAGCACGCTGTTAGGAAAGAGCCTTTGTTGTGTAAACTAGGTGCGGATGATGTAAAGGTACATGTAATAGGGACTGAGCCTTTTTGTTATGTAGAGATGATAAGGCTAAAATCGCTGCCAGGAAATTAGTCTTTGTTGTGTAGAATGGTGTTTTGTTTAACAGCCACGACTCTCAACAAAGAGTCAATACCGGCCACTGGGAGTGGTAATGGTGGTGGTCGTCACTAGGGAGACAAAGGCGGTCGGGCCCTGGTGCTGGCCACCCCATCTCCTCGTGTGCCGTGCCGACCTTCATAGATGCTACTCGCTAATGGCACTTGCCCCAACAGTCTGTTAAGGCTACACGGAGATCTTTGTCTTTGGCGGTGGTCAGGAACGGCGAGATCGATGGCGCTCGCCCATTGGAGGCCCAAAGCAGCAATTGTTTTCGGGGAACTCCCCATTTAATTTCTATCTCTGATTGCGATGACAGCAGATAGATAAATAAACAGAGATATTGGTCGGTAGCGAGGTAAGAAATGTGGATTAAATAGATAGAGGTGTAATGAGACGAGAGAGATTAATTAGCTTTTTAATAATAATTGGATTTATGCGCATTAGGATTTGAATTCGAGCTGATATTTGATTTACCATTTTTTTTCATTAATCCCGGACTACTTGAGCTACTTGGGGAGATTATGCTCTGTGCTTTACTTCGCGCTACGTCTAGCGCTGCCACTGGTCAACGGATGATTGTGGACCTCTCTCGATTTCACACGCATTTCAAAAGTCTTCTCTTTGAGCCCCCCCCTCTCCCCACTTTCCACATTTCCCCATTCTCCCCACTGCTATTGCAACTCCCCCCACCGTATCCTCCCCCCCCGCCCCCCATCATATATTTCGGTACAATTACCGGAGCAGATGGCGACTCAGCGGGGTGAGAGATGGCGGCGGCTGTGGGGGTGGGTGGAGGAGGAGGAGGAGGGGGGGTATGTGAGAGGTGTCTCGTGGCGAGCCGAGTGATCGGCTTGCACGCGCGCAATTAGCCACCGTGAGTCGAAGCCACCTTTGGCGAGTATTATGTTTTGTTTGCGATCGCCTTCGGGCGCTCGGCTGATTTGAACGGCGGCGCGGCTTGCGGCCCTCTCGTCGTGAGCCCGGACGGGACGTCTCCTCCTTGGGCACGACGGCGATGTTGACGACGGCGCCGAGAAGAATGCTGTTTTGTTCGTTATCGTTGCGTTGTCACAGGTCCGCCGAGCAGAGCGAGAATGATTTGTTGAACACGTAGTAGGGTTTTGCGACCAATGTTATCTATAACAGAGTTATTTTTTTTGGGGGGGGGGGGGGGGGGGGTGATCGCGTAAATATTAAACGTCTCGTTAAACCCGCCACCACTCGGCACAGCCAATTAGTAAGGTTTGTCACGTAGACAAAAAATAATAATTAGCTGAAATTCGGAACCTCTAACTTCCTTGGACGACCTCCCAATATCTGGCCGAGGCATGTTCGGAGACACGTGGTTTTAAAACCTGCCCCCCCATCACCCCCTCGTCGTGACAATTGTCAGCATGTATTTGCAGTAAAATAATAGTAATTGATGAGTAATTTGCGGAATGACTCATCGATTGTTGTTAATTGGCGTTCTCTGGTCTAACGCTGGCGAGACAAGGTCATAAAGAAGGCTGTCTGGTGTAGGCCAATCAGTTTCAAAGACAAGCATGTTTGTCCGAGCATATTCGTGTGGGTGTTTTTCCACAAGTACGTGTGGTTAATGCAGAATTTTATGCCTTGCAAAAGGAATATATTCGGTGTTTGGACCTCTTAACACCACCTTTTTTATTGCCAAAAAGGCTAAAACCTATTCTTATTTTTCACCATTTTGGAAACTGGCAAAAAAAGTCCCATTAATAATTTAAGGAAGTTTTTGTTTGTCAATCCACTGCTCGACGATGCCCACCACTCCCCCAATGCACAATGCTGTGTTGGTCATGGGGGGGGGGGGGTTGTTTGACCATACTTCACCATACTGGTCAGTGCGGATTGGCGAAGGCGGAGGAGCAGGGCCGGTTCAGATTTCACTCACTCCACAATGGTAGCCATCGCCAGGAAGACACCAGGAAGGTTTACGAGTTCAAGCCCCGGGCTCGCAGCTCAGCACGTCAAATACAAAGATCCCCCGTATAGCCTTAACAGACTGTTGGGGCAAGTGCAGTTAGCGAGCACCTATGAAGGCCGGCACGGCACACGAGGGGGTGAAAAGCAACACACCCAACCCCCGCCTTTGTCTCCCTAGTGGCGATGTTAACGCACCGTACCAGGTACCCATTTGAGGCGGAGTCGACCTAGGGGTGGCCCAGGACCGGCTCAGATAATCGTCACTGGTCTTCTCCGCCGTGAGCGGGAAATCGAACTCGGGTCGTCGGGTTCTTAATGCAGTTTGCAATCTGCTGTACCACCGCTCGGCACATCGCCTCCGCCTGTCGTCACACATTGGCGAGTACAAACACAACGGCCGCCACCGTAATGTGGAATTGACGCCGCTGAGCTACGGAAACGAGCGCCGCTCACGCAGGCTTGCTTGAGCGGGCAGCGTAGCGGGCGTCCTTCTGCACCGATTTCGCAAGCGGAACGCGATGCGGTGGTTTAAACGCTCGCGAGGTTACTAGTGCACGAGTAAAAAAAAAGAGGAAAAAAATCCCCTACGTTTAAGCGGAATTGTCCCGACGAACAGGACCTGTCAGGTGAGCGCGCGGGATTAGATTTGGTGCCGGTCAGCCTACGTTACACAGCACGCCATTTCGAGGTTTTTCTTTTCTTCCAATCTCCCGATCCCCAATTACTCATCACCCCCCCCTCCTCCTCGTCTCGCTAACCCCTCTCGCTCGCTCGCTCTCTCTCATTCCCACGGTCCCCGGGTGAAAGTGCTCTTGATAAAACTCGGCTTCGTAATCACGGAAGGACACCGCAGATGATTCCGTTGGAATTTTTGAAGAGAGAGGGAGGAGGAGGAGGACGACACTTCAGAGAGAGAGAGTGGCAGCAGGAATATATGGAGGGAAACACATGGATATCCAGCCTTCGATGACACATGGTTCAGAAACACGGTCATTCATGAGAAATAGCTAAACAAAAGCTGTGATGAGTGCCCAAAAATGCACGGAGAAATTCATGCGTGTCGTAATCACATTGAGAGACAAAACGGTTACACGTGCGGTTCTTTTGAGCTGGTGGTCTGCAAAAGGCTGACAGGTTTTTTTCTTACTACAGGAATTGGACTTCTTTGGGCGTTTTTAAATATCATTGTTTTCCCGTCTCCACTAACCTTTCTGTTGTGATGGATTTTCTCATCATTTACTGATTTGAATTCAGAATTTTTGTGCCGGGGTTAAAATTCAAACTTGCCCCTCCCCTACTCTTTTCCTGCTACACGAACGACAATCCGGGGGAGCCGTCGCCCGCCTGCCCTATCCTCCCACCCACCTATGCCACCCACCCACTAAACACCCACCCACCAACCCATGCCACCCACCCAACCACCACCCACCCACCCACCCACCCATGCCACGCACCCATCCACCACCCGCCCACCACCCACCCACCACCCACCTATGCCACCCATCACCCACCCACCCATGACACCCACCCACCACCCACCCACTACCCACCCATGACACCCACCCACCACCCACCCACCATCCACCCACCGTGCGCCACCCCATCCCTCTCCCTGCCTCGCCGCACGATCTCCAGGAGGATGCGCGCGTAGCAGAAGACCATGATGAGCAGGGGCAGCAGGAAGAGGCAGGCGAAGGTGAACATAAAGTAGAGGCTTCCCTGCCAGCGTTGCGGGAAGCTGCCGTGCGTCGCGCACTGCGTGAACTGCGGGCCCGGCCGGGACGTCTGCACAACGCGGAACAGGACCAGCTGCGTCGTGGAAAGGGGATTGGGGGAAGGGGGAGGGGGCGCAAGAGAAAGGTAAAAGAGGGAAGAGACAGAAGAGGATCGTGAGTAATAGACCCTTTTTTCCACTGCCACATCCGAGCCGAGCCAACGCCGGGCTCGCTCTCTCGGGAGGGAGGGTCGTTTTCTGCTGGCGCTACTCCTGACGCAAACATCTGGCTCATGCACCGCCGCGGTGTCCAATTGGAAGTCGTTGCTCTGCATCAACGTCAGCCATGTGAAGAAGATGAAGAATGTAGCTGAGCAGACACCATCGACTCACTATGTATGTTGAACTTCGTTCGTAACCGTTCGTAGCCAATCGTGCTAATCGTAGGTGCGGGGAAGGACGACACAAATGACGCGCTTTGGGTGGAAGATTTGTGCCAGAAAGGCGCCGACGTGTGAAGCAAAAGTTTAAATTGACTTCACTTGAGAGCCAACCAAGGGAGGCTGAGACCCAGAGTCGAACCCAGGCTCTCAGCGGTTCTGGTTCAGTGCCAGGTGCGGTGCTCATTTCCCCCGAGCCACGAGGCTGCCTTGAATCCTCCGGCAGGCACGGTTGACTACGTACGGTGCGAAAGAAGTTCACCATACATATGGGTCTCTATGGGTGTCTGTGGGTTTCTGTGGGTCTCTGTGGGTCACTATGGTTCTGTATGAGTCTCTGTATCTCTGTCGGACTTCCGATATTAGGAAGCCATTGGAGCTATGCACGTTTAAGTATAGATTTAAAACTAAAGTCTTTCGAACCGATTTATGTGTGTTTAGTTTGTTGTCCTTCCCCTGCACGACTCCGACTAGCACGGTTGGCGATGTACGGTGCAAAATAAGTTCAAAGTTCATACGAATCCTCTTGGTTGTAACCCGTTTGTCTCACAGGCTGGTGTGCTTGCCATTCAGAATGAGCCACTTTAAACGAATATAATCCACTTGCGTCCCTTACTGCATAATGATAACGATAATGAGTGTTAGGAGCTTTAAAGTTACATGAATGAAAAACCCTCCTACAAGTCATAAGAATTAAGGACGTACCATTTCGGCTTCGTTTCGCTTAATTGACACTCCGAGGCAATTGCCTAAAGGTGCCCGGTAGGCAGCTGCATCTCGTCAAATCCTCACAAGCTTAGCAAAGGATGGCGCTTGGGTTGGGCAAGGCCACCACGGCAAGTCCGTTTGCTGTAGGCTCGTGGGCGGCTCAGGTACCAGCATAGTGCAGTGCCACCAAAAAAAAAAACCTAAATGCCACGGTTTAAAGCTTTCGTGACTGCAGGGATTCATCTTCATGTTTTTTTTCGGTAAAGTCACGTAGAACGGAAATAATTAAATAATAAACATAAAACATAATAAAATACAATTCTCACGACGTTTCGGCCACAACGCAAGCAGCCGTCCTCACGTGAAGAACAGGGCTGTCGGAAAGACATTCATTCGGACGCTGTCTTTCCGACAGCCCTGTTCTTCACCTGAGGACGGCTGCTTGCGTTGTGGCCGAAACGTCGTGAGAATTGTATTTTATTATGTTTTATTTTTATTATTTTATTATTTCCCTTCTTCGCTACTTTACCGAAAGAACCAAGAAGATAAATTCCACGGCTAGAAACAAATCTGTCCAAATGCTGACCTAACAACGAACTATTTTTCTACCTCCAGCAAAACCAGACGCGGGCCTGTGCGGGTGAAGTATGGTCAATTGGCCCGCTTGGCGTGCGGACAACCCTTAACCCAAGGAAGAGTGTGATTGAGAGACGGGAGCTGTGCACGGCAGTTGCGCAGTCAACGATCGGCAGAATGAACGAATTATTGGGCCATCTTGCCCGGGACATACGCCAGCGATCTCACGTTCATTTCTCTCTGCGATTCAACAACAACAACCGCCGCCAACAGCAGCAGCAGCAGCAGCTGCACTCAAACGCAATTTCGATTAGGAACCAACAGCAAACAGATATACGCCAACTTAGGAATTGTATCGCGAGGGTAAAGTGTTATATAGCTCGCAACGCGTACGATCGTGTTATCACGGGCTTGAAATAGTCATCGTGGAATTCAATGTGCCTAGAAATGGGAATAGCTGTAACCAGGCTGGGGGGCAAGGAGGGTGGGTGGGTGGGGGGGTATAGCCAGACGAGCAAAGACGCCACGGTATTAACGCCGGGAGCCCAAGAGGCATATCAATCTCCACCGACACCCGGTAGAATTTATTCCAAATAAATTACTCAGCACCCCCCGCCCCGACCCCTTCCACCGCACGCCACCTCACAGCCCTGCGTGCCGGAGTGCTAAATCCATTGTCTCTCACCGCCACGGCCCAGGATTACTGCTCATGACTCCCAAGGGTGTTTGGAATTGCCCCCCCTCCCCGCCCGCCCGCGCGCGCGCCCTTCCTCTGCGTGTTCATTCGGCGGAATGCGAGCATCTTCATCTCGGTCAGCCCCACTCTTAATTTTGTCTCCGAAATGCGTTTTTGGCTGTCGTCTGCCGATTGTTCTCCCCGACTCTGCGCGCCTTCGCCCCTTGTCGTTGTACTCGCATGACGTTTTCTTAGGTTTTTTTGGGGGGTTAGATCGCGTAAATATACGTGTCGTTAAAACCCGCCAACACCCGACAACTAGTAAGGGTTGTCACGTAAACAGAACGTGGCCAATTCGTCACGAGTACAGCACACCGGTGTCTTGGAGAGCCAAGCTACAATATTTACAATCTGAGTACGACGTTTCGCCAGTCATTACAACTAGCTTCATCAGGCGACAGCCAGATTTGTGGAGAAATCCACCTGTTTCGTTCCTTATGTAGAGGCGTAGATGTGGTGACCACGCTTCTGCGCTCTTGCGCAAAGTGCGGGGGGGAGGGGGAATTAATGAGTCAACGTACATTATGCATGTGCATTATCCGAGCCCTTTGATATTGTCCTTCCTGTCTATTGTGTTTATTAAAATAGGCGTACCAACGGTAATCCCTTGTGAAGTATGGTGCCCTTTATAGGCATGCAGCGCACCGGTGTGCTGTACTAGTGACGAATTGGCACGTTCTGTTTACGTGACAACCTTTACGAGTTGGCTGTGTCGGGTGGTGGCGGGTTTTAACGACACACTTAAATATTTACGCAATCTAACCCAAAAGTCTTCTACGTGTTAAACTAACGTTGACCCAATCCGCCGTCTGTACCCGAAGAGGACCACACCACGCCGTGCCAGGTAGTGTGAGGGAGTAGGAATTATTCATCCGCGGGGAGCGGTGGCGCTGCGGTTAGCGCGGTCGATGGTTGCGCCATCGCCGCGCACGCGTCCAATAAAAAGCAAGCGACAAGTCCTTACTCACTAACAACTCCTCTATCATTTGTCATTGCTGGAGGGGTTGCCCCCCCCCCATACCTAAAAAGCCTGGCTCCGCCATTGCCACGCTCTCTGTTCGCGAGCCCTCGGCAAGCTGTTAAGCCTCCATGCGCTGCGCATTTTGCACGCGGGAATTGAGCGCAGCGGCGAGGGTCGCGTGCCTTGGGCGCATGCTTACAAAGACAAAGTTCCCCCGGGTAGCCTGCACGGGGACCGTTGGGGAAAGTGGTATTGCTAGCGAGCAACTGTTATTTATTTATTTGGAAAGAATGTTCGGTGCACGAGTGGGCAGCGCGGACGGCTAGCACCACGTCCTGCCACAGGTGTCTATACACCGCACCAGGCGCTCAGGGCAGGTGCAGACATCAGTCACCATTGATGGTGGCTCGGTGTGGCGAGGGATGGAATCCACGTGGCCGAGTTGGAAGGGCAAGTGAGTGCGATACAAGTGCCGGGCTCAAGACCTTCAATGCGTTGTCCTAACCCGAGGCGCGTGCCTTCCGATCTTTAAAATGAAACACTGGCCCCGCTGTTTTCTACTTGAACCCGACCTATACACATAGAGTGCGCTCGTGTGCAACGTAACGTTGAACGTGTCTTAGATAATTATTAAATAGTTATAAAATAATCATTAAACAAGCGTTAAAAAAGTATGAAATAATAAGTAAAAAGTAATAACAAAAATTGCCGAAAATAATGTAATAATTATCAATCAATTATCAAATGACCGTTAAGTCGTAATTGAATAATCATTAAATATTTTTTTCAAAAAAAAATCAATAAGTCATTATTTAACTATTGAAACGTTAATTGCTTTAACGTCTGCAATCGTCAATCTTTTCTCAAGCAAACACTCTCCCACTACGCTGGGCTCGGCATTGATATGTAACTCAAAATGATATTGTTATATAATAATAATAATGATCGTCGTTGGGGAGAATATAAAAAACAAAAGAGATAAGCAGACCGATGTTGTCGAATTCACGTACCAGTATCTCTACTTAATATTTAGATATTTATTGCTCAAAACAATCAGTTTCTTCCGGGAGTGCGTAAATCCAGCGGCATTGATTCGAGACAAGAAAAAATGTAGCGCTCGGGACCGTCTTCTTGGTTCTTTCGGTAAAGTCACGTAGAAGGGAAATATAAAAATAAAAAAATAAATCATAATAAAATACAATTCTCACGACGTTTCGGCCACAACGCAAGCAGCAGTCCTCAGGTGAAGAACAGGTCTGTCGGAAAGACAGCGTCTGAATGAACACCACCAGGCTTGGCAGCGTATATTTAAGCTGGGGACCGCTTTGGGCGTTACTGGAGAGGTGAGTTTCTTGGAAATCCGCGAAGCGACCAGTTCAGAGATTGTGTCATTTCGCAATGAACACGTGCATTGTGGGAACTACGAGGAATCTCACGGGTGCCTCAATAACGCAGGCAGTCACGTGGCTTCACGCTTCAGTGTAAAACATTGAAGGCGCAATTGTCTTACAGTTTAATTCATTTCCCAACAGTGACGTGCGGTAAGGTCAATGGCTGGGGAGGCACTGGCTGGTATGAGAGCGAGATTTACACACTGAGGGGGGCGTGTCCTCATTGAGGGGGCGTGTCCTCACTGAGGGGGGTGTGGCCTCACGGAGGGGGCGTGACCTCACG